GCACGGCGTCTTCCGCCTCGGCCTGGCGATCAGCGCGGCCGAGCGCCTCCTCGTACGAGGCAGGGGGACTTCTAACGAAATCTTTGTAAAGCTCGCTAGACCGGATAGAGTTTGTGAGCATTGCCACCCCAGTCCTGTCATCAAGGCCCTGAACCTTGACTGACTCGGCCCTCCACCTCGCTAAGAAGGCGGACAATGATTCCTTCTTCCCCTGTTTTAGGCCGAACAGGTGGCTGAAGTTCTTTTTGACGTCTCGAGAGCTAGCGAACCTCAAGAGAAAGCGTTGAGCCAGCTCACGAAAGTTCATAATACTCCCGTCGGGCAGAGAATCATACCACTCACGAGCCGGGCCATCCAAGGTGGCAGAGAAACCGCGACACCGGATGGCGTCCTCGTACCCCATCATCACCATGTAGGAAAGGTATCGCGACACATGATGTTGGGGGTCAGAAATGCCCTTGTATGTTTCGATGGTGCAAGGCTTGTAGCCCCTTGGCAACGGCGCATCCATGACCGCCCGGGTGAAAGGTTCGGGTATCCGGAGGTCGGCCGTGTAGGGCTCCCCCCCGACGACCCTTCTCCTCAACTCGTCAAGGCGTTGTCGTAGATCTTCCACCTCGGCCGGCGGTGGGTTCCCTCGGACAGCCCTAGCACGGGGCTGGGCATGTCCAGCAGCGCCTCCAAGTCGCCTGTGTGCATGAGGTCGGGTCCCCACGTTTTGCCTTTCCATGGAGCCAGTCCGGCTGCTCGCTCGGTGAGAGTGGCGAGAGGACTCGCCTCCTTCCATCTGCATTGAGCGCCCCTGCTGGGCGCCCCTCCCCGCCTGCTGATGGGGCCGACTAAGCTGCTGGGAGACTTCCTCCCTCCTGTTTTGGTCGGATCCAGAACGTCGCTCGTCACGCCGCCTGGAGGACACCTCCACACCTGCCGGCGTCTGTTGACGGGCAGGCTCATCCACGTTTCCGCCAGACACCATCTGTTGGAAACCTTGAGCCAAGGCCCCCAGAACCCGAGTCGCCTCCTGTAGGGCTTCCACCCCGGCATTGAGTCGAACCGGGTCCATGCGCGGAGCATGACGTCGGCCTCTCCCCCGCCGGCTGCGGGCCGAGCGCTCACCTTGGGTGTGGTTGAGCGTCGCCCTCAGGTCGCCGTGGCCTGACAATCGGTTCCGAAGGTCGCCTTGGGGCGCCGCCCTCCTGCCCTGTCCATGGTTGTCGAGGGCACGCTGGCGGCCTGACCCGGTGGATTCCTCGGTGTGGACTGAGACATGGTCACGTCGGGACGAGATTCCGGCCATCTTTCTGTGCGATTCCTGCCCAAGTGATTGTGAGAGACAATAGAGGCTCTCAATGAAAGCACCAATGTTGGTCCAAAATAGGACGCTCGTAGGCTTTTAGGAAGGCTACGTAAGAACACTCAAGCAGAAATCAGGAAAGCAATACGAATAAGGAAAGTAGCTAGAGAGTTTGATAGCCAGAAATAACTTGTCTATTATTTGAATCGGACTTGCCTTTTATAGGCGATTACAAATGGTAACTGCCGAATAATAATGACTAAATTAATTACAATATTAATACGGAATTAAATACATGATTAATGGTGCATTGATTGTTGGCTGTTACGCTTCTTGGCTGGCTGGCTGGCGGGTCGGCCTGGCTGGCGGTTCGGACGCTTGAGCTTCTCGGGCGGCAGGCTTCCATCGGGCTGGATGGCAGGCTCCTAGCTAGGCCGCAAGGCAGGCTTCCGGTTGGCCGGCAGGCAGGCCGTCTTGGGCTTCCACTCCCTAATGGGCCCGGTTGGTTGGGTTGACTTGATATCTGGATCGCTGGGTCCACTAGCTGGACTTGCCTGACGAGACGGCAGTCCTGGGCTTAGGCCTGCTTATCCAAGTTTGGGGCCAAGTCTGATTAGGCGGTGGGCCTAGTCCTATAATCCCATCAGTACTACATATGGAAAATATCATAGTGTTTTAGTCATTTAGGTGTAAAATTGAATTTAAGTTTTAGTCATGGATTGTGAGTAGTTGTTAGTTTTATGTGAATGAAAGATCCTAAGAGAAAATGATTACACATGTTTGATAAAAGGAAAGATATTCACGGTAACTTCTCAAAAGAATCCTTTCTTTTTTAAAGAAAAATTGTTAAACATTGTTATGCGAAACATACAACTAAAAACTTTAGAGACTTTTGAAATACTACAAAAGCTAGAAGGACTTATTCCTAGAAAAGATGTTTTCTTTTGGACTGAAATTTACTGGTTTGGTCTGGTTTGGTAAACGTTTGATCTCTGTGTATTTTATAACTAAGAAAGTCCGGTTTGTTCTGATTTGGTCTGGTCCAGTCTGGTCTGTTCTGGGACTGAAAACACCAAAAGAAAACAGCCTAAACATGCACCAATGTCACTGTTTTATCGGTATACTTTATGATGAAACACTTTAAACAACATTTATTTTAACTATAAATATGAAATTATTTATATGAATAAACAATAAGGCTTTTAAAAGTAAATTATTAATCGCAATTTGATAAGTCAAGTAACTTGAGGGCGGGTATGTGAGCAGATCTTAGATTTCACACGTATCTTCTCTTTTTTAATCTTTTTATTCCATGTATGAAAGAAATGTCTTTTGCGTATTATCAGGTTAGACAATGTTAAATACTGTACGAAATAGGCTAGCACTCCTAGCAGGAATATAATTATTGGAGTTAACATAGGGGCGGGTGCTACTACTTGTGATTTGTGAATCTATCAATGCTGCATTGATTATTATTTTTTTGAAAGAAATAAACTTAATTATCATTAATCAAATCGTTGGTTAAAGTTGATACAATAAAAGGAGGTGGATAAATCCAAGACTGCGAATCAGTCATCAAGTCTCTAATGTCCTCTCTCAATAAACCCACCAAAGAATAGCTCGATCACATTCATTCAAAATTTCAGAAACCGCCCCCGCTACCATTGGCTATTATTATCCTTATTTGGATAGAAAATACCGAGACGTTTTTTAAATGCGTTGAGTAAATTTTGCCTAGATTTCTACACAGCAAGCAATTTCATATAACTTGTGTTACATATTCGGTCAAATAGTTAGAATTATGAAAAATCATTTCAAAAGTATGAGTTATACATCATTTCGACAAAATCAAAACTTACGTGTGTAATAAAGTCCCTAATAATCTTAATAAATTGAAAAGATGAATGAATAGTTATCTCAAATCATTATCAATATCATTATTTTCAATACCCTTACCCCATCAATTGTGGGAGCCTTTGCGGCACTGAAGTGATGATGATCGTTATTTTCAGGGCATTTAATTGAAAGTTATTTTCAGTACATTTAATTGAAAGTATCGATACTTTAATTTTCTAGGTTACTATTTTATTATGTTGATAGGTTTTCCACTATTTTAGATGGTTGTATGACACTTTTACAATTTTATGAATTTATGGTTTCACAAACGATATGAATTGTGAATCAATTAGTTGGTGAAAAATTGTAAAATTGTACACCTTTACAATTTAAATTGCAAATTCAACAACAAGAATAAATCTAGATAGAGTCGTCCATTATCCATTAGTTCATAATATTCCTCCGCCAGGCACACCATTATCGTCAGATTGGTAACTATTAGTCCATTATCCATTAAAAAAACACTTTTTATTACTCCATTATCCAATATAAAGACATTTTTTATTAGTCCATTCCAATAAAAAACATTTTTTATTAGTCCTTTATCCAAAAAAAACATTTTTTTATTATTAGTCTATTATCCAATTTGTAAACAAGTCACAAACATTGAGACACCCTACCTATAAGGCTATAAGACATCGACAGAGGAGCTTGTTCCAGCCACCATGCTCTATAATACACATGTTTGTAAGTATCACATACTACAAAAACACCATTGGAGGATTTAAAAAAAAATCCCTGAGCCCTTCTTTGATTGGGGAGTTTCACATCAAGGGAAGGGGAGATGTGATGGTAATTTATTCATAGATTTAGATATTTGAAAAAAGTGAGGCTGAAGACTCATAAAATACATCATTGAACTAAGCATGTGTGTAGTTATTCCTAGTATAAGACCAAAATACAATGCTAATTAGTTAAACTAAAAACACTCATTCCTTTCGCAAAAAAAAAAAAAAAACACTCATTCCTCCCAAACAAGTGCTGAGAGTTTATTTCTTGCACATCTATCTTCATTCTATATTTCCAATTTACTCTATACTATTTAAAAAGAATCTACTTAGTACTTGCGACTAAAAAACCATTTTAAACAAAGTTTCACATAACATACATGAATGTATGATACTCCCACGGCCACGGGTTTAGAGCTCAAGTGAATAACGAAGGTGAATTGAACTCCTTTTTCACTTTGACCTTCACGATGACAATTCGAGTTCTACCAAAGAATGATAATGATTTTTGTCACAAAAAATTAAATGCAACCTCTCATGGTAGAAATCACACAACTCCTACAATTTGAATCCACATGGGCAAGAACGGAGGAGGTTCGGATGGTGCGGAGTGTGTACACAATTGGAATATGGTGAATAATACTCCCTCCGTCCCAGAAACAAGTTCCCGTGTTGACCTTCACACATTTTTAGGAAATAAATTTACTGATGGGTAAATTTTACTGTTTCGACACTGTTTGGCACTGTTTGACACTGTTTTGATGTAGATAATTTGCTAAATAAGGAAGTGAGAAGTTTATTTTGAGACATCCAAATAAGGAAAATGAGAACTTGTTTCTGGGGCGGAGGGAGTATATGACATTTTTTTAACTCCAGAGGGGGGTTTGGCCAGTTTGGGGGGAGGGGGCCTGGAGTAATCAAGGCTGAAACTCATTCCATTGAGTTTCGAACCCTTACGTGCCTAGCGGGTTTCGAACTCGAGACCTCCCACTAAGCACGGTATCTCACAACCAGCTGAGCTGGAAATACCTGGAATGCTTGGTTAAAATGACATTGGTGAGTATATCACACTAAAATAAGGCCAAGAAAGCAATGTACTAAGAGCTGAAGATGAGGCGAATTTACTGATGTTACCCAATGATGGTATGTATAACAAATTTGTAACAATGATCTTTACATTTTTTTCAATTTAGAGCAGAATGACTGCATCACTTGATCCTCATTCCCTTCTCATCTTAGAAGTTAAGGGAAGGGGTATACTCATTTTAATTTCCTGTACATAGGCCATCCGGGGAAAACATATTAATTACACCAATGTTTCTTTCCTGAGGATGTTAAATTTGCAGAGAGGGCAGGTTGCATTAATCCGCAGCCATTTGCAAACACAGCCGTGGTGGAAATGGTGGTTACACGGAAGCCTACACAGCTCCACTCCTTCACTATACCTATTCAAGCAAATACTACACTCCTGAAAGAAGTCACCTTCACCATGTGAGAGTGCGAAATAGAGAAAAACATTTTATTTTTCATTATTCAGGGTGAATTTATTATTGAGTATTTTCTTACTATTGGCAAAAATATTACTACACGGTCAGTGAAAATATCATCATAGTCACCACAGTGTAAAACTGAAATGGAAGAAGTCACCTTCACCATGTGGTCAGTATAAAAATCATATTATCATCCATTATTTATTAACTCCTATAATTTAAAATGGAAGAAATATGGTAAGAGATTGATGCTCACGGAGTCCTCCAGATTAAGAGAAAGGACGGGTGTGGACAAGCCTTCTTCCAATGTCATGTTATCATCATATGAGAATTTTGAAATGCTACTATTAGCATTACTGGAGTGGACATACGAGTACTTGGGAAGAGTCATGATGTCATTTTCAGATGCTCCCTCTCGCAGTTTCATTGCATAGGCAACTGCTACGAGAATCGGAACGCAACAGAAGAATGCAAAGAAAAGCATGAATACCATTGTGATGCAAAAGATCACAAAGAACACATCAAATGCCAAAAAAGTCACAGATAACCTGCAAATTTGAATTTGGGTTATAAGTGCTGTCAATGCCAAGATGGTTTTTTGAAGAGAAAAAAAGGCTGAGTCTAAGAGCAATGTTTATACCAGTAAAGATGGGGAGAATCTTGCAGAAGTGCTTGGCCACCCATGATAATCCAATACAAACCAAAAACCCACCAGATTGATGATATCACTGTATTAACTGCCTCCAAACTCTGCATGATACTGACCCCCTCCCCCCCCAAAAAGGGAAAAAAAGTTAGAAGCTTGAATCTGGTTTGATAAAGAGTCAGCGTATGCATGTTTGTGGTAGGAGTCTCTCATCAAAATATTAAAGAGAACCTTGTGGGTTTATAAGGTCTGGAGTCAGATATGTAAAGGATTTGATTCTATCTTTTAGTGTTATTTTACCCACATGCATTATAGTGTAGTTGATCAACAGTGACCTAATCATGAGGTCATTAGTGTGGTAAGCATTAATTTGAAGTGATATTAGAATCATTCAAAACCTGCACCTCAATAGAAAGTAAAACCATTCTCCAAAAAGAAGAAAAAACAATCTCAAAGGTATGAAAAGTTGAAATAATCAGACTTCCTACTACGTTTCTAACTGTTTTTGAATTCAGAACTATGAAATGAATCATACTCGGTATAAAATATTCTCTCTGTCCCCGCTTAAGCTTCTCACTTACCTCTTTTGGGAGTACGACTTAAAGGTTCTCATTTGTACTTTAAGGAAATAATGAACGCTCTTAAATGACAACTTAATCATCAGATATTAAAAATAATACACCTATAATATCACAATTATCATCAATGACCGCGTTATATATTATATATTCATCAAAATTATTTCTCAAACTATACTCAAATAATCTTATTTAATTATTTTCTAAACATTTTGAATAAAAAGTTTAACAGGAACAGAGGTAGTACTTTATTAGTAAAGTCTAAAAGAAACGATGACTCCTTTCATCCCATAAACTTTTATCAGTTTATCCCACTGAGCCACTTATAAGTAAAAACCATCTCATTGAATTTTATGATAATAAATGGAAATTATATTCACCACAAATTTATTACTTAAAAAGAAAGTCAATTTTTTTAGAAGAAAGATGGCAAAAAGTACTGTAATAGTTTTTGAAAGAAAGTGGACACAAAATTTAGGGGATAACATTATATTAAAAGAAAAGCTAAAATCGTCTTTTAAAAAGAATTACACACAAAATTAACTTCAGTCTGTATGAATTAAAACCTAAGCCAAAAAACGAGTTTACCAAAGTGGCAGATATACATCAATTATAGATTAGTATTTAGTAATCTCCAAAATAATACTCTGTATTAATTGAAAAAAGGTGAGGAAATGTCAATCATAGATTCCCTAGCTAAAATATACTCCGTAGGTAAAATGGGAAAGTACCTGGAGTGACAGAGATTAAATATGGAGAGGGCATGAGAATGAAGACTATGATATCTCACCACCACCATCCTCTGGTGCTCAACCCACACAAAACCCACATGCAGGAGACACTGTAGGGCATACCCACCAATCCAGAGCCTTAAGGGTGCAGATGGACTCTCTCCTATGGTGCTCAACAGCATAAAAATGGACACCAAAACAAATGCCATATTCCATATTACATCAATAATAAAAAAGGGTCTTGAGTACCCACAATCACCCAACAGCCCATCATCATCTTCCTCTTCCCCATCATCATCATCATCATTCATAACAATCTGATGGTAATCTGAGGAGGAAGAGGGCATTGTGTTCTGGGAAGTAGTGAAGCAGGAAGCATCCTGAAACCCATCAATTAGTAAGGGCCGTTGCTCCATTGGGATGAGCTGTGGACTTCAGCTGCGACTTGTCCCTTCTTCTTCTGTGAACAATTTATTTGTGTTTCTGATTTCAAGAGAGGTAGAGAAGAAATGGATGGGTTGGTTGGTTTGGTGTGGGGAATTACTAATTGAGGTGTTGGATTTTGGGTGAGAACCGGTGAAGGAAGGAAGGTGGATTGATTTTTGGATGGAATTGAAAGAGAAAGAGAAAGAAGGAAAGAACTGTAAAGAGTTTGGTTGGAAAAGTGGGGCAAGTGGCCGAGGGAATGTCAAATGCTCATACGCATTCAACAATCAGTTTGTTCAACCAATACCGAAGAAATAAACTAAGGTGGCAACTTATAGGAAATTTTTAATTAAACTTATTTGAGAGCCCGTTTGGAGACCTCTTTTTTCGGCTTATCAGGCTTATCAGCCAGCTTTTTCACCAAACACGTAATTTTTACTTTCGCGTGCTGAATTGTGTAATAAGCAGAAAAAGTAAGGTTGGAGTTACTTTTCTGACTGTATTGGCTGAAGTTACTGTAGATGACCATTTTAGCTATTTTTACATGTAATTTTTTCTTTATTTTATTCATAAAATATATTTTTAAAATATTTTTTTCTAGAATCAGCAGAATCAGCCAAAACAGCCACTTCAGCCAGAACTTCATAAATTTCAGCAGAAGCAGCCAAAACAGCCGATTTTCGTGCTACCAAACGGGCTGTGAATCTTATAACATACTGAGTACCAAATTATACTCCGTCCCGCCAAGATCTTTCTGCTTTCCCTTTTTAGGTGTAAGTTCTCATTTCCTTAAATGAAAAGTTATCCCACATCAAAATAGTGTCAAACAGTGCAAAACAGACAAAAAATGTCAAACAGTAAAACCAAATTTATTTCCTTAATATGTGTATAGATGTAAAATGATCAGATTAAATCAAATTAAACCAGACTTTGACAGATATAAAATGCCCACAAATCATAAACATACCAATAACATAAATAAGATTTTTCAATATTTTTATATTTCTACACTTTCAGCCAATTCAGCTAATTAAAGCATAACTTAAAAAATTTCAGCATATTCATTCGGTTACATACTTGCAAAATGAGCTCTAAATTTAAATTCGATACTATATATTCTAGTTGAACAGTGTAATAATCAAAATAAGTAAAAATGAAGTTAATTTTATGGCTAGATTTGGTGAAGAGAACCATTTTAACATTTTTCATATTTTTTTATTAATGAAATATATATTTTAAATATATTTTTCCAATGTTTTCAGCCGATCCAATGTGATATATATATTTGGCTAATTAGCTAATATGTGTTTTTTATGGTTAAATGCTTATATTAAGGTAAGATGAATATTCAAAACAATATTCACATATTTATGATGGATCACATGACACACTTAGTTTGGAGTTCTGAGCTATTAGTCCATTAAATTACCTTGGAGTTTTTAGGTATTCATATTGGTTACGAGATTGTAACATATGCGTTGATTTTTTAGCAAATATGGCCCATTCCTATCTCAAAGCAATGACTATTCTTGAAGAAGCACCAAGAGATAGATCGCCTTCTTTGGGAGGACAAAAATGGGCTCGAAATTATTAGACTATAGCTTTTGTTATTTCGCGTTTTATTTTTTATTTCCTGTTGTACCAAAAAAACCCAACTATGAATCTATGATCGTTACTAATAGTGATATACTTATACGAAGTACTATATTCCTTTATTACCTTCCAAATATGAATGCCTGACAACTATTGAGTGACTATTTATCTCATCCTTTATTGCATTTGAATAAAGTATTGAGTGTGTATACTTTATTTTGCATAACAGTTCTTTGTTTTGAATAGTTTAAATAGTTTTTCTTTTGCTATTTCCACACCTTTAATGATAGTTTATTAAATTGTTAATAATAAATACTATCATATATTCATATACTACATGTGAATATTATAGAAAAATGTTTATGTTATATTTGAATGAGTATATAACACTTAAAAGAAATATGTATACACAAATGAATAATTGAGCACATTAGAGAATTGAAATGAGTTATTGATTTTTTTATGTTCATTTTGTAAGTTATGTATACTCATATGATATTAGTGTTATGCTCATTTTTAAATGTCATATAAATATGTATTTCAAAACTATAATATTACACTAGGTTCACATATTGGAATTAATAAGAGTTGATTATAGGTACAATTTAACAAATTTGTACAAAAGAAAAAAAAAGGAATAAGAAAGTGAATTAGAAGACATGTAAGTAGCAATTGTAAATCGTAATACTCAATTGTAGAATTCTTAATTCTCAATAAAAGAGACTTGATGTTCAATGAAAATGTCTTGTTGCTCAATTACTAGAGATATCATCCCAAAAAATTCAGCACATTTTCATTTTTGAAAAGTTTTGTATAGTTAACAATTATTTACTTTTTCCTTATTCAACTACAATCATACATATTCATTTTATTCTCACTTTCTTAAAAGTTCGACCGTTCAACTTTGTAGGTGGGTCTAGCCGTCTAGGTACCACAACCTGCTTCCGCCCAGGTTTTTGGATCTTATCTATTGTATTTAAAAACATCTAAGGGTTTCAACAATGGCGTCTTCTATATATTTTTTTTGGAAACATCATCCAGCTTTATTAGAATATAGATCTTGAAGTTTACAATATTTGAACCAGAAATTTGGTTAGAACAAGTGGGCTGTTCAAAATAGATGAAGAAAAAGGAAAGATTAAAATTCCATATAGCCTATGATTGAGGCCCAAATGGCGTCTTCTATATTTTGATATGGGAGTTTGGATGATAAAAAACGTGCAGAACAACACTACAAAGGTGGGTGGTATAAAATTTTCCTTTTGCCGTCTTTAGAAAAGTTCATCCTAACACTTGATGCATGTGGTTTAATGGAAGCATGCATGAACTGATGACATCTTGAAAGCATCGTGCTGTTGTTCTTCGTAAATCGTAATGCTATGTTTGGGAGTTCAAGAAAGGGAAGAAAAGATTTTGAAGGTAAGTTGTTGAAGGGGAAAGAGAGAAGAAAGTCACGAATCTCAGGGGTGGAGCTAGGGGAGGGCCAATCCTGGCCCTGGCCCAGTCCAAATTTTAAAAATGTCTAAATTTTTAGTGTAAAAAATTCTGTGATTTTTTTTTTCAAAAATATTCTTTGTATCCAGTCCGGCCCAGTGCCCTACCTCCGCCCCTGACGAAACTCGTCTTCTTATTTGAAAGTCGTTGAAAGAATTATTATCAAAATCACTTCTCAGATGAATTCAAATATATAGTTGAATTGATATTCATTTCAAATTGAGCTTAAATTATTATTTATCTTTTAAAAATCAAATTTTGAAGGAACTTAAAAATTGAGCATTTGGAAAGTTTTCGAGGGTGCCAAAAACCTTACAAAACCACATTTTAAAACTGTCAAATACAAATAGGAGGGTCGATCATAACTTCACATGTCTTTTCCTCTCTTTCAATAACCAACTTCCAAACACACCCTTAAGGTATGGGTGAGGAGGGTTTATGACCCTCCCTTTCTTGTTTGGGTGTTTTAAAATACTACATAAGAATGAATGATTTTGGAGAGTTTTGTGACACTCAATTTTTAAGTTCCCCAAATCTAAGAATTTTAAATGACAATTAATTATCTAAATGATAATAACTTAAACTGCATTTAAAGTAAATACTAGTATTAGTTAAATTATTTGAAGAATAATAACGGAGTATTATTTTCGTACTTCTCCATAAGTAGTTAGTTTTCCTTTCCAACCAATACGTATTTGCCTATTTCTCAATTTTAATATTCTCAATATAAATTAAAGATTTAAGGTTAGCTCAAAGATGTGAGTATAAATTTGATAGGATGTTGTTTAACTATGATGTGGGAAGCCACTCCTATGTGTAGGAATTTATAACAAGGAACTAGCTATGTTCGCACATTGTGCGAAGGGAATGTGCCCAACTCTTCACTTTTTCATATTTAAAAAAGAGAATTCCCCAAATAGAAGTAAAAGATAGGCAAAATGCAAAAACAAGAGTACCATGTTTTGAATAGGAGTAACTTTAATGTTAGGATAAGCATACCTCTACCCAAGCCCCAACAACTTTCATTAATAATAAAACATAAAAGAAATAAGATTAATAAATTTATAAATAAATTGTAAAAAACAAAAAAAAACAAAAAAAATATCAAATAAAATATATTTTGTATTAAATAAAATAAAAATTATTAAAATAAAAATAAAAAACTAAAAAAATTAAAATAAAAAAAATGAAAAACATATAAAATAATATGTAGGCTTATGCCGCCGCCTCAACAGCCTCCCAGCACCACCAGCTCTGAGCACCGAAAAAAAAGCCATCATGATGGCAGATTTTGAGAAAATTTGGCATTTTCAAAGAGTTAAACTATCATCTTTATGACATTTTCAAAGAAAAATGACAGTTTTTTATATAAAATGATATTTTTTTCTCCGATCGGGGGTGACATTGCTGGGTGATGACTGAGGCTGCGGGAAAGACTTGCATAATTTTTTTTATAATTTTTTAATGCAGTTTATCTATTTTGTTTTTGTTTTTTATTTTTAAGTTTTTAATATTGTTGGGATGAAGTTAGATTATTTTTAAAATTAAAATGCCTGCATAGAGGTATCGTTTCCATTGAATGAACTTAGTTTTTTTAATAGGATCAAATAAGTCATATTTTAGAATTAGCTAGGTTAGAGATATTAAGGATTTAAGGGTATAAAATTAATGTTTACTCCTATTGAAGGAAGTTTTAAGTTTTACTCCTATTTGTGCAATTATGTTTATGTTTACTTATATATTGGACAATTTCTCTATTTAAAACTACCCCGATGGCCGGATATGAAAAAGTTTGTCTAGTTTGAAAGATCTAATTTTTATTAAATAATACTATCTGGAGTAATAATATTAAGATTTCACAAATTTTCTAGAATTCAAACAAATTGAACACTCAGTATTATATAAATTATTACTCCAGAAATGAACTGATCAAAAAGAAGAATCTTACTATTGACCACCTGAAATTCAGTATGATTTTACTGGAATCACCCGAATAAAAAGAACTCATCAATGAATCGAACCCAAAAATGACTCACCAAGAGAAATATGAGTGAGAATCACGAAGAATTCAAAGAAAAAAATAGCCAAAATATATTGAGATTAACCCTAGACAGGGGCGGAACCAGGGGTGGGCGAGCCGGTGCTGGCGCCACCCCTTCGCCGGAGTATTTTTAGTAGTAGGATTAGCTATATTGATGGCCGCCCCCG